GCCAAAAACTCTTATACTATGGTAATGAAAGCCGCTGGTTGTGAATATAAATTTTCCACTTTACTGTGATGCTCCTTTTAAAGTTATCCCAGGTAAACCCCAATAACCGAATTCCCAGTAGTTGTCAGAAATGTGATTACACCGTCAAAAAAGCCAAAAACACTCGTAAAAAGTAGTGTGGTGGAATCAGTGAGCGCGAAAACCTTAGTACACGATTTTTCAGATTTTTTGAAAGACATTTCCTCAGATGGCAAATTTCACAATGGTTCCACATGCTGGAAGTTCTTACCATAATCCTACAATAACGATAAGCGATCGGTGATTTGATCGATACTGTAAATCTATCAAGCAAAGGATACCAACATTAGTAAACGTTTGAAGATGGGATGTATATCAGTAGATGCGCCTTTAAACGCTGATTCCAAATCTGCTTTCCTTTGTTGCGGAACGATTTTTCGAAAGAAGTTATGAGCGTTTGTATGTCCAAATTTGCTAAGGTTTAGGTGGCCTAAAATTGGCGAAAAGCTGCACAAAAACACCGTAAAGTGAAAAATCATTTTTGTATCGACTATATTGTTTGCAAGAAAGGAATAAAGCCGGTGGAAATCGCATGGGTGTTGTTTCAGAGCTTTTCGCTGATTTTAAGCCACTCAATGCTTGGCAAATCTGGGCATTCAAACGCTCATAACTTCTCTCAGAAACTTACTCCGCAAAAAAGGAAAAGCAGATTTGGAATCAGCGTTCAAAGGCACTTCTAACGATATGCATTCATCATCAATTGCCAACTAATATTGGTATCCTTCACTTGTAAGTTGAAGCCTCTTCTACAGATTGGTAGTTGACTGGCAAAAAAGACCTATTGGGAAGAGAGATATTGACGTTTGCAAAGTGTGTACTTACTTTTGGGACACCCTGTATAGCTGAGTGTCTGTTTGTCTGTCTGTATGTATGTTTGTATGTTCACCGATCCGGACCAATTTGCATACATACACTACGGGATGGGGTGAGCGTCATAGGCAAGTTTTCGTTATCATTCGACATCGATTCTTTTCGATTTGTTGCAAAGATTGAGCTACGGGACGGGAGGCACAAGGGGGTAGGTGAGCATGCTGATTACGAATATATCACGGGGCCGAGCGGAGTCGGGTTTGCTAGCTAGTTCTATCGTTAATCGCCTTGTTAGATATTGCGCTTAAATGCCAAACTCTTGTTTATGCGTGGTATTCGGCTTTACTTTAAATTTCGCCCTTATTTCACGTTCTCCCTTCAGACTAGTGACTCATTTTCTTCCATCTTCTCATAAGTCGACAAGATTCCGAAGAGTCGAAAGGGACTTCGATTTTTCAGGGATATCTTGGTTTCTAAAAACCCTAGAAATCGACTCGTGCGGAGTGCTGAGATGGTATCCTACGGCGTATAGTGACTGAAAATTTGAAAATCAAAAGCATGAAATTTGCAGTTGGCAAAACTTTGTTCTTCAAACTTGAATTTTCATCATCATTTTCGTTTTCATTCTAACGCTCATGGTGTTTCATACATGAAAAACAAAGTATTAGAAGCTGTGCTGCCGTGAGCGTATTTTCACTGCAAATGCAACGGCGCACGCCGCAGGACGGTGTGCTGCGGCAGGCTGCGGCGTTATGCGGCGTAGTACGAAGGAACCTTAAAGGCAGTGTCCGGGCAAGATGGGGATTTTGGGATTTCAGTGGTACCCCTCCACCTCGCTCAGACACAACATCGCGCAAGTGCGACGTCATAACGCTCGACCTAAAGCAAGAAAAACGACCGGAAGTGGGGAAACTTACGCCTTGGGGCGGGGTCCTCCGAGCTGTCCGAATTCCTATGCGGCAGAGTACGTATGCTGCAACAGTTAAAATGTAGGGCTCCGCAGCGACTCTGCATCTCAGCCTTAACGAAAACCGCCGAATTTCAAATTGTAAGACTTTGGAAAACGCATGTTCTCGCCGTTTTCACGCCTTATAATGTGAATTTTCGGCTTCAGCGTTGCGGATAATCCCCGGTAAGTGGATTTTCTAAAAATCGAGTTTTTGCACGGACACTGCCTTCAACATGCTGCCAATGCAGACAATACAAGCACCATTATTTCTTTATGATGTGTGTCCAATGATGTGCTTTTTTGATGTACTGTTTTCTGTTTTTGTCGACGGTGATCATGCAACCCAAAGCAATATGATGTATAGTTGGCATGTACCTAAGCTACGTCGTTCATTTATCTCATTTATCCGCTGAAATTATTTGTACTTCTGTTTACTTCATATAGTTGATGTGATATATATATACGTGCAGTTCTCAAGTATTTCGTAACGCTTATCATATCATCTGACATCTGCTCCCTGATGAAGGCGGTCGTCCAAATAGGTTGAAAGCATGCAAAGGCTGACGCGTACGCGGCGCGTGGGCAAGTCAACCACGAGGCGCACACACGCTTCCGTGGACCGCTGACCGAGCGTGCGGGCGGTTCACAGTTGCCCGCGCGCCGCTGCGCGTCAGCCTGTGCATGCTTTCAACCTATTTGGGCGACCGCCTTGGTCATGGAGCAGATATTATACTATTACTTCCCATGAAGCACATTTTGTGCGTCAGCTTTTATCAAACATATCTCTGCGTAAAAAAAACTCACTCGCCGTGAGATGCTTCCAACATATACCGGTCGACTTGTATCCAGTTGTAGAGTTCACCCAGATCAAGTTATCCTATTTTTAATGATCTCGGCTGAAGAGAAGAGATTTCTGCCCGCGATTAGGAGAGGCATCAATATTTGAAAATGTAATCAATGATGTATTATGTACCAGTCTCCATACACAAAGTACCGCATGGCAGACAATGTGTATAAAAGTGTTGAAGAAATGGCGATGCGATTATGTACATCCAAGCGTAATGACACGCTACACGAACAAAATGTAAGCCATCACGCGCCTCAAAAAAAGCTTACTGCTACTTTACGAGATGAAGAGGTAGTCGAGGATATTTGAGAGTGTGACAATTTTAAGAGCTAATCAACGATATCCACTTTCAGCAACCGCACGATTCCTACAATCTCGATCACCTGAAGCATGCAGTTCGCGACGAAGCCTACCAAGCAATCGAGGAATCTCAAGCAACAGCAGACAGTCACTCGAAACCAAGTAGAAGTCAAACAAAACATCAAAAAGATCTCCCTAAGTTTCAGTTCAAAGAAAAGTGCTCCTGACAATACGCAATCTTTTTGAAAGGCATGTCACTCATACAAAGCGTAGAGTTTACAAAAGACGTTCTCAAACGATGGGATGGTGCTCCTCTCTATGGATTAAACCAAAAGGAAGAGAGAGAGAATCTCATTTAACTGAAAATATCCCAAGTAACAAAACAGATCCCGCATATTTTGCGGGAAATACCACAGATGGCAAGTTTGCAACAAGTATGAAATCCGCAAGAAACAGAACAAGGGCTGTAACCTCATCTACGTATCAACACAGCGCCAAAGGCATTTGTGCTTAAATTGCCGAGTGCACTTCAAACATTGTGTCTTCAGTCATCGTACGACACAAAAGCCCAAGGAATGACGGGGCTGGACAATAACAGCAAAGGAAGAATTGAAAGGGCCAAAGCTTAGTTTTGTGAGTCTTGTGGGCAGAAGAAGCGGGAACAAGCGAGGCGCTCCATACACCTCAAATCTATTTCAACCCCCTATGCTTTGGTAAAAGCCTTTTTTCTACAAAAGAGGATCAAAAAAACAACTCTTTGGAAAAGTTTGCCAGTGATTGCAGGAGCAGAAATCTCAACAATAGATGACAATACAACAATACACTCATTGAGGATGCGATCTTCAACGGTAAGAAAGATCGATCTTCATCTGTACACCTTCGGTTTCGATCAAGTTACTTTGAAGGATTTTTGAAAAGTGTTGCTTCCTGCTCGATCCAACAGGACCTGTGTCAGGCTCCTGTTGGATCGAGCAGGAAGCAAGCCAATCAAATTGTCATCCCGGATCAAATTGTCTTACTGTTAAAAATTTTTGCTGAAGAGGATAGCAGTTGGCACGTAGTCAGGAGAGCCGTCCACATTTGGAGACTTGTAACCAAACAGATGTGTTTGTGCACTGCAGTTTATCGTACGTGCCACACGATCAAGTTCAAGCCATCAAGTCTCCTCCACACAAAAACCGCGCTTTTTTCACCGTTTTGTTCAATATTCTAGCTTTTTTTTGTAGAAGCACCTTATGATGCATGTGCCACTTTTTGCGAAGTCAATGGAAAATTAGTTTCCAAAAGTTCCTTGCCCTGTCTCATGCCGAGCGTTATTTTTATTTAGAACATATGATAGGAAATGCTAAACAATTACCACTCTGCAGCTAAAAGATTCTGTTTTGGAGAGTAAACTTTTCTTGCTCAGGTAGACAGATAGTCAATTACGAAACAAGTCATTATTTCAATTTTGGATAGGAAAATAAGCGGAGCGAACTAAAATGCTACTATGTATTTAGTAAATTAGTGTAAGGCTATCACGAAATTTATTTAACACATACACGACACGGCCATTATTGTGCGTTCTGGACATAACAGCTTAGATTAGAGCTGTATCCAGATGCCTCTCTAGCATTTGCCGGTATCCCATGTAGTTCCACTAAAAACTTGCGATGCTTAGAAATAGGAACATCGGTGAGTCGTATTGCCGTGAATGTGTTAAGAAGCTGATAAATTTTCCGCGCTACACTTTACCCATCTTGCAAGTTCTCCGTTTTTATATTACTGTTCGTCGATCTATATTTTTGCAATGTGAGTCTATCACTGTGACTTAGCCACTGTCAGCCTATTCATTTGCAGATCGCAGGAGGTTAAATTAAACAGAGTGACTGTCAATAAAGACCTGTAAATCTCATCTGTTCTGCAGATTAGGAAACTTAAAAATATAACACACCTCGTTCAAAAAGTCAAGAGTTGTTTTTCCTTGATGTGCGTATTTTGCTACCTAAAGGTGGAAACAAGTGCGAGCCTCTCACTATGACGTCCTGTCACGCACGTGGCGTCCACGGACGATAATCCTGATAGAAGTGAAGTAAAGACAAATAGCAAAGTGATAAGTAGAAATGACGAATTGAATGACAGGTAGTTAAGATCTACTGTTGGCGGTTCCCAGCTACAAGGGCAAGCAGCGCGTCGCGGTAGTGGCCGGAAGTGTCATCCTGGGTTGGTGAAATTTTGTACTTTCACGTTGAAATCGAAAAAAATTGGTGAAGTCTCAAGCGATTTCTGACCTACCTTGATCCAATCGGCGAGTGGCTGATTATACATTTCCTCGAAAATCTCCTTGATAAGTTGGAGATCGACTTCTGAGCGATTGACCAGCACCCGAATTAGGTCATTGTCATTTGTTCCTAAGCCCTATGCACACACAAATCGACAAAATCGTAATAACTAACAAACGTCCAAGAGTACCTTCATCGAGTAGTGAAGTTGTTCAGCGAAGAACTTTTGCTTGTCAGTGGATGCTTTAACGATGGTGAGGTAGCTCTTTTGCACGTCACCGCTAAACTGCTTTTCAATTGCCTTCTCGATGGAGGCCCCGGAAAGTTTAGCGAATTCCTCAAACACCTGCAGCACTCATAAAAGCTTTTCTTATTCTTGTAAATTCCTTACAGATTTACTCACCTTTCTCAGCTGATATTGGTTCTGAGAAGTAAGTATGTTCAAGAAGTGCGATGGTGTGCCTTTATCCTCTCCTCCGGCATAGAGTCGGATTGCATCCCAAAAAAGCATTATTTGGCAGTTTTGATATGAGAAGATAATGATTGTACTTCTTTAGCCTGCTCTCCATTAGTATCACGGCCGTTGTCCTTGCTTCCTGTAGCAAGCGCCACTAACAAGTCTTTGAATTCTCCAGATGTATCGTCTTCTATCTAAAGAAAGTTTTCGCAGGGGTCAGGGCTCAGCACGAGGTGGCTAATTGAAGATGCAAAAAATGAAGTCCCTTTTGACTTTTGCGAATTTTTACAAAGTCCCCTTGATCCTCAACTATAATTCCTAAAAAATCTCCAAGAAACGAAACTCCGACCAAAAAAACGCCGCAAATTTTATGTCTTGTATTTTGTGTTTGTGTCAAATTTTGTGTATGAGGTGATGTACGAAAAACAGGAATTGGCAGGATTTTTCGCCGTCTGCATGTTAGCTAATTTTGAAAGTCAGTTCTCAGGAAATATCTTAGAAAGGATTCAAAGTTAGTTGTATACTTGCGAAAGAGGTGCTGCATCGTGTATATTAGGCTGTCTCATATTTTTTCCCGTTTTTTCTAAAACCATTGCCTTCCTATCTTTTTCTTTCATCAGGTTGTCCCATAAGTTCCGTCCGTTTTGATTTTCAATCGCAATAAATCATGAACTTCTTGTTTTTAGATAGGTTCCAAGGTACCATTCGATAGAGCAAAGCAAGCTCTACAAGAAGGCTATCTCATTTATGCATCAGCTCTGATCCAGCTCGAGTTTCGGGGCAAAAACTGAAAGAATTCAACTGCCCGAAAAATCGAGAAAAAACCATAACTCCGTTCAAAAAAATTCTACAAAAATTCTAACTTGCTCGCGTAAACACTATCCATTTAAGACATTTAGTATATACGCCGTTTCCGTAATTTCTCCATAATTAGAAATTAAGAAAACGAAGTTTTTCATGTGTTAAAGCGATGCTGTGCTGTCCGTACCTAGATAGTTGTATACTACTAGCCTGTGTAAGTACAAATGTAAATTTTCAGCTCTCAATAAGCTTTGGTTCTCAAGAAATAACGAATATAGCTTGCCTTAGTTGGGTTCCTTACGCTAAAATCCATATTTCTCGAAAACTTGTGACTGTAGAGAGCTGAAAATTTATATTTGTACTTCTACGGGCTAGCAGTATACAACTACCTATGTAGGGACAGCACAGCATTGCTTTAGCAAAAACATGCGAAACTTCGTTATCTTAACTTCTAACCATGAGAAAAATACGGCAACAGCGTATATATTAGGTTGTAAAGAAAGTTCCCGGGCAGTTGCAAAATTTTTTTTCAAATCGCTGTAACTTCATGCGGGTTGATTCTTTTTTGAAGCTACAAACTTCATTGCAAAGACAATTTTGTCCAAAACATATATTAGTCTTGCTAGCTACTCAGCGCCTCACTGCGGTCCACCGGCATGCGCAGAAGGGAAAAAGGTCGTAGCGAAAAGTGGCCTATTTGTGCAGGATTATCTCAGGCATGATGAGAGATGGAGAACCCAGATGCTGTAGTTATATAGAGGTCTGCTGGAGTATTATAGGGACCATTCATGTTTTTGAAGGAGCACCTGCAAAAAATTTTTTCCCAGAAAGTTTGAAAAATCGGCCATTTTTTGCCCCTAAAAATGCACCATTTTTCGAGTAAGTGAGTTTGAAGTCTTCTAGTTCTGCACGAAAAGGATCAAATCTCTGATTACTGGGAACATTGTTGGGGTAATGCCTTGCACATCTTCTGGACCCATTATCCAGGCGTGGCGATCCCCGCAGAAGCGACGCCAGCTGCGAAAAGAGTTGCAGTCAGAGGCAAGTTCGACAACTTGTAATTTCTGAGCGCAAATCGCAAAACTCGAGTGCAGCTGCGGATCAGAAGTTAACAGGCTTCTCAATCAAACCACCCATGATTTGGACGAAATTCTTTGAAATGCACAGAAAAATGGCCGTAGGAAGAAAAATGGTGAAATTTTTGTGGTTGGAAAGATTTCTCTTCTTGACGTGCAGATCAAACACGTCTTGACATCGATAAAAGTCAGAAGGCTTGTTATAAACTTCAGGCTTCTCCCTACTGAACAGTATAAAAAACTTGGTGTCAAAGTCCGACCGAGCGCCGAAAAAATGCATTTGAAAATGAAATTTCCAAAAGTGCCCGGGAACTTTCTTTACAACCTAATAAATGTCTTAAATGGATAGTGTTTACGCGAGCAAGTTAGAATTTCTGTAGGAATTTGTTAAACGAAGTTATGATTTTTTCTCGATTTCGGGTAGTTCAATCCTTTCAGTCTTTGCCTTAAAACTCGTGATCAGAGCTGATGCAAAATCGAGATAGCTTTCTTGTAGAGCTTGCTTTCCTCTATCGAATGGTACTTTGGAACCTATCCAGAAACAAGAAGCTCATGATTTATTTCGATTGAAGACCAAAACGGACGGAACTTATGGAACAACCTGATATTTAGTGCACGTTGAGCTATCGCTCGACAAAACAAAGCAAGCGCTATGAGGAGGTAATCGCCCGCTTAGAGAATTTTATTTAAAATACGAATCTGATGTAGTAAAAACGACTTAAGGCAGTGCCTCATCAGATTCGAGGCATACCGGATTTTTACAGATTTCACAAGGGGAACTTCCTTATCAGAACAATGCCCAAACCCCCTCAATAAGGCCTCTCCTACTTCACGAAATGTAGCGCTCAAACGGCGCGCGGAGCGCTCACTTCCGCTGGGCGACTCGTCGTTTTCCCTATCGCGTTGCAACAAGTCTTTTAAGCAATGCCTTCCGCCTCGATGTCTTATCCTGCGGCCAAAGCTAGAATAAATCGGGACAGCTCGTCCGCCTTTTTAGGATTTTAAGCAGAGAGCCATACACGTACACGAGGTCGGGAAAACTTGTATAGGGCTTATCAAATTGAGTGTCGCTTGCACCACCATCTCCATCTTCGCCCTGGACTCTGCGTCTCTTCTGCGGCACATGTTCCCTAATCATTTCCAATCGATTGAGGCTCCGCCTCCACGCTCGCCCTGGGAAAGTGCTTAGAGAGCAGCCCCGCGGAAGAGACGCAGACTTCAGCGCGAAGATGGAGATGCTGGTGCAAACGACATTCAATTTGATAAGCCCTATATTTTGCAAAAATCTCAAGTCCGAAAATCTTGACACACTGCCTTTAAGTGTCAGAAATCGTGCCTTCGTACTAAAACATCCTAAAACATTTACTTACCTCAAACATATATCTGACACATTAGCCATTTAACTATACACTTCCCACATTTCTCTCATGGTTAGAAATATAGGAAAAATGATTAGAGTGATATAGTAAACTCCGTCTCTAACAGTTCTTAGTTCTTCTCAATTTTATAGCACATACATTGGCACTTTTCCGTTATCTGAACCTTTTTTTTCAAAGTGTTCTCAGTGCCTCAGGCTGAAAAAATTCTTTTTAGACTCTGTGAGGATTTGTCTCCTTGCCACGGTCAAGATAACAAACAGTTTGACATGTTTTTTTTTCAAAATCATTTTTGGTGAGATACGAGGATATTTGAACTGACGTGAAAGCTGTTCAGAAGTCTTTTATAAAAGCAAAACAGTTGTCAACGTTAGTCAAAACATCTTGGTAGCTTTCAGCAATGATTTAAAGAAATCCTTCTCTTTACATTGCTTCCGCCATGCGAATATAGCCGGGAAAGATTATAAGTGATGGCTTTTAGCACCCGGCTGCCACTTCTTTCGTCGTTTGCACGATAGCATAATAGCCCAATCCTCTGTTTTAAAGAAACCCAACGTGTTTATCAGACACAGAATGTCATTTTCATAATGTTGGCTCATTCATGAAAATGTTCGCTAAAAATTGAGTCTTTATTAAAAACCAGAACTTACGGTTAGATAGTCTAAACAAGCTCATGGTAAAATCTGTCAAACGTGCACATGACATCTCATTTTTTTTTTTTGAACATCTGACAGGAGACTGACTCTCTATCTTGTTAGGTTTTTACCAAATTTGGTACAAGGAAAGAAGCAATTGTCTTTTTTTTTGAAAAAAAGGGTCCGGGTAACGGAAAAGCACCCATACATTCTTACGTACACGGTACCACAGTCCTCAAGAAAAACTGATTTCTGGTTTAATCGCTAGGAGATTGTGAGACAACCCTAAAAGTTTCTACTACCTCATCATATTCTTTGTAGTTGATACAGTGCTGGCCAAAACTATAGATCCACACAACTCGCTTGTTTATCATTGAATGAATCTATTTGAACTTTGGTACAGCTATGTATATACAGTGTTGGGCAAAATTATAGGTCCACTCTAAAAAGTGCCATAACTCACTCTGTTGTCAATAAAATGTTCCAAAATTTGGTACAGCCGTGTATTCACCAGCCTACTATCAGTCATCAAAATGGGTCTCGTTTTCGTTTGATTATTCAAGAAAAAATTGAAAATTTTGAAAAAATCAGGCTTGAAGGCTGGACAAAATTATAGGTCCACCTGGAGTTTTTACTAATTAAAGCACTTCTTAGCTCCCGAATTTTTTTTAGGTAGGCACACATCTAAAAACGTTAAACAGCTGCTTTAGTCAAGCTGTGTCATACCTCCACAAAGAACGGATTATCTGCTTTTTGCCTTGAAGATGTTCTCACATATATTTCGCTCCACAAACTGCGTTTATTAAGAAATTTTACAGTTTCTCAGCCGGATCGGAAGGGACGGGGTTTCATCTACCTTCTGGATGCTTTTTGACGTGAGCATTGAGGAAAGAACCCGACTTTTTGCTGCTGAAGCAAATCCGACATTGACAATGCTGCAATCCTGAGCTCAAATTTCTGCCTTCAAACTTCCTTTGCAATGTTCTCAGAAGCATCGAGTAAAGTAAAGGCATTGTTTCTACGAAGGGGAGTCCGTATACCATAGTTACAGCTTTCTAGAGATCCTAGCATTCGAGTATAATTACTGAAATCACCCTTCAGAAACTGATTACGACAAGCACCAAAGCTACTTGTGGCTCCGACCAGAATTTTCAGAAGAATCATGTGCTAACATACACTACAAGCTGTATCCACTATCTAGTAAATAATTACTGTCAAAAATCTAAGTGAGGCAGCACTTGGCAAGGTAATTTGGATCGCGTAATACCCCGGGCAGACTTCACGCGATTTGATCGTCGCGACTCAGTCGCGACGAGACAACTGTTACAACACCATTCCATGCCGATCAACTTGCATTCGGTTGTGATACTTTTCCAGCCGAAATCTTTGAATGTAAATAAAAATGAATGGAAATCTTGGCGATTAGATCGCGACGATCAAGTCGCGTGAAGTCTGTCCGGGGCCTAACACCATTATTACGTTGCACACACAACTCATGTTTCGAAAAAGAAGCAGGAGCTTTGCGGACACTTGCGAATATGGCGAACAGCTTTATTCTTGTGTAAAGAATGCTTCTACAATATCTTGAGGTTATAATGACAATGCATAAAGGGTTTTAGGGCAGAAACTGAGGCTTACTCTGCCGATTAAGCCGATGTCAGATTTGCTTCAGCAGCAAAAAGTCGGATTTTTTCTTCAATGCTCATGTCAAAAGCATTCAGAAGATAGATGAAACGCCGTCCCTTCCGATCCAGCTGAGAAACTGCAGAATTTCTTACTCAACGCAGGTTTGTGAAGCGAAGTACCTGTGAGTGCATCTTCAAGGCAAAAAAGCAGATAATCAGTTCTTTTTGGAGGTATGACACAGCTTGACCAATGCAGCTGTTTAACGTTTTTGGATGTGTGCCTACCTAAAAAAAATTCGGGAGCTAAGAAGTGCTTTAATCAGTAAAAACTCCAAGTGAACCTATAATTTTGTCCAGCCTTCAAACCTGGTTCTTTCGAAATTTTCAATTTTTTCTTGAATAACCAAACAAAAACGAGACCCAATTTGGTGACTGATAGTAGGCTGATAAACACATGGCTGTATCAAATTTTGGAACATTTTATTGACAAAAGAGTAAGTTATGGCACTTTTTAGAGTGGACCTATAATTTTGTCCAGCACTGTATCAGTCTACTATCAGCAATTCAGAGGGGTCCCGTTCTTGTTCTACCAAACACAAACAAAATCATTATTGGAAAAAGCAGGCTTGAAGGAGTGGCAAAAACTATGGATTTGCTTGAGATTTCTATGCAAAGTACAAAACTTTTGCTTCAATTGAGCTGTGTTACACCTTCGAAAGAAACGGCTACATGGCTTTTAGCTTTAAAATACTTTTAAAGCTATTATCCTCAAAGATGTATATGAGTGGGAACCTGCTGTTTCTCAGCTGATTCAAAAGCGACGGTTTACATCTATCTTCCACATGCATAAAGACGTGAGCACTGAGGAAAAATTCGACTCACTGTTGAAGCAAATCAAACTTTCACCGAGGCCTGAGCTTAAAATTCTGCCTTTAATGTGTTAGTAGGTTAGTAGGTTAGTAAGTCGAGCGAGGTTAGTACTTTATTAGTTAGTGGCGGCCTGACGTTTCGACTGGATCGTCTTCTTCAGAGGCCTAAAGTGGTAAGAGATCAATGATTTTATGCCTTACCCCACCAGAAACCTCTTCCATACTGGCTAACCTCGACTTCACCCCCGAATGCTACAAACGAAAATACGCAGAAACGTGAAAGACGAACCAACCTCCTCCGCCGCTGCCGCGTAGATGTTGAATGCGGCCGTCCTCGAGTGCCACTAGTACCAATAGTGAAATATGGTCATACCGTGTTGACACTAATCACTAGCGGCATTCTTCAACTCACATAATTCCAAGAAAGGCATAAAGTCATTCGTGATTGACGCACAATCATTTCGGCTGTTCATGCATGGATTTCCTGCGAAAATCCAGAATGCCTCGAGAGCTTTTCTACTAGCAGTGTCATACTCGTGTGCCAGTATAGTACATCTGATTTCGAAGTCCTTACCACAGTGGAATTCAACTCTGTGTTTACCGAGCGGTGTGGTAAGACTTCCGTCTCTTGCTGGCAAGATGTTCTTTCATTCTTACCCATAACGGTCTCCCAGTCTCTCCGATATAAGTGGCGCTGCACTCAATACATTTGATCTCATATATCACACCGGTCTTACCGCAGTCACCAACTTTATCGGATGGACAAACTACACAGTCTTGGATTTTGCAGTAGTTGTCGTAAAGTCTGTTACGTACTAGCCGCTTCCTGATGTTATCACTTGGAATGTCAATCAAAATGACATCGTTTTCGAGGTTCGCGTGTTTAATGCATCGTCGCACTATAGCACTAGTCGCGTCAGAAACGAAAGGAAGACAGAGAGGTATTTTCTGTTGGTGCTCTGCTACTATTTCACTATTAGTACTAGTGGCACTCGAGGACGGCCGCATTCAACATCTACGCGGCAGCGGCGGAGGAGGTTGGTTCGTCTTTCACGTTTCTGCGTATTTTCGTTTGTAGCATTCGGGCGTGAAGTCGAGGCTAGCCAGGATGGAAGAGGTTTTTGGTGGGGTAAGGCATAAAATCATTGATCTCTTACCACTTTAGGCCTCTGAAGAAGACGATCCAGTCGAAACGTCAGGCCGCCACTAACCAATAAAGTACTAACCTCGCTCGGCTTACTAACCTACTAACCTACTAACACATCGAAATATGCCGAGTAACAAAAGAGGAAACTTGGAACTTACTATCTGCCGTTAAGTTCGTTCTACAATACTCTGATGAGGGCGATTTGGAGTAAAGGCATTACTTGTATAAATGGTAGCCCGTATTCCATAGTCACAGAACTACAGAATCCTACATGTAGGCATAACTGCTGAAATCATCCTGTAATAATCGACTACAAACAAGCCTTAAAGCTGTCGCTACTTTGTCCAAAATCATCAACAGAATCACGCGATAGCAGCTTTTGCAGGCAGATACTTCTGAAAGTTTAAAAAGGCTGCGATAGGTAAGCTATTTTGAAATTGCACAACACTTCCATTAGTCTGCACATCGTATGTTGTAAAAATGAAAAGTGAGACTTTGTGAACAACTATGGGTGCATAAAATTCTTTTTATGAAAAAAAAATGTTTTTACTTCATCGTGAGCTCACAGCGACAACGCAAAAAAAAAGAAAAGACAAACCCGAGCTCAGGCTTCGGTTAAAGTTCGATCTGCTTCAACAGCAAAAAGTCGAATTTTTTTTCAGTGCTCACGTCGCTAAGCATGTGGGAATACATGTAAATACATCGCTTCCAAATCAGCTAAGAGAAAGGTAAGACATCCCACTCAAACACATTTCCAAGGACCAAAATCTGTTTAAAGCATTTTCAAGGTAAGAGAAGGGTAAGACATCCCACTCAAACACATTTCCAAGGACCAAAATCTGTTTAAAAGCATTTTCAAGGTAATAAAAGTAGGTAAGCTTCTTTGAAGGTGTAGAACAGCTCAGTTGAAGCAAATGTTTTACAGTTCTGACTCTCTATCTATATGGATGACTTTGCAAACCAAGAAGTACTATGCACAGAAAGTGAATCTATAGTTTTGGCCAGCCTTTAAGCCTGCTTTTAATATGATCTTTTCGTGCGTAATAGAACGAGAACGGAAACCCACTCTGAAATGCTGAAAGTGGACTGTTATACACATAGCTGTACCAAATTTTAATCGTCGTTGACAAAAGAGTGAGTTACGGCCTTCTTTAGAGTGGACCTATAGTTTTAGCCAGTAATGTATGTTCTTTTGGTAAATTTCAAGCCATCATGGGAATCACTCGAAACATGTCAGAAGGAGCAAAAATTGTCAAATGTCGTTCAAAATGTCTGTCTGTCATTGCGTAGTGTAACTAATGGATAATAAACTGTCCAAACCGACGGCAGTATTTGCGTAGAAAACTTGATGAATCCAAATGCCAACATAAAAAATTGTTATGTTTGATTGATGCTCGGAAATACAGCGGATGAGAAAACTTTTGACACACTGGACACGTAAGCGTTAAGCCCAATATTCTAAAATGCTCTCTCTTTACGTATTTTTGGATGGACTGAAGATAGCGGATTTTGATATGGTTTGGATGGAGACAGCTCGTGCTTTTGGGAGATGATTTTTGGGAAAAGTCATTGAATCTTACATCTTGTTCCAATGGTGTCTTGTATTCACGCTCGTAAGCAGCTCGAATAGCGGCCAGCTGATAAGGAGTGCGAGAGCAGATTATTTCGATCAATACTCCTTCGTCTGTGCCAAGACCCTACAAAAAAAATAACAAAAAAGTAGGATGAGTCTCCATAATTAGGGAGCCTTGATGTTATCAACCTTCATAGCTGCTTTCAGCTGCTTGACGTCATAGTCTAGGGGAGTGTCCATAAGCGCAAGCACAGTTTTCTTGAAATCTCCGCTTGACAAAAATTCTCCCAATTTTTTGTCAAGCTCTGCAATGATGTCCTTGCCGTAATTGATTCTGTAGGATTCGCGCATCTGAAAATCACATTAACAAAGTCGGATGGAAATGAGTGGTATGCAAAAATTCTTCAGATGACGGGAAAAAATTATTGTTTGACGAAGTAATCCAGCTTTATTGAATCTACTATAATATTTTGTAAGCAGCATGTTACACTCGTATAAAGATTAGCTCTTTTTGAAAAAATTAAAAAAGAATGTCAAATCATAATTTGCAAAGCACTCAATTTTTCATTGTTATAATCTCATAATCCTGCGCGACTAAAACTATTCCACAGATCAAAAATCAAACTGATTATAACCCTCCTGCCCGGAACGTAAGTATGCAAATTTCAATCTAAATAAAAGCATACTATAAGAATCATGAATACAGACAACATAGTATCAGGTTTTCCCATAAGTTCGTCAGTCTTAAATTTCAATCGCAAGAAGTCATAAACTTCTTAAATTTGCATAGGTTTCAAGGACCTTTTGATATAGCAAAGCGAGCTCTACAAGATAGTATTCTTGCTTTTGCACCAGTTTGAATACATCTCGAGTTTGAAGCTAAAACCAAAAAGATCCAATTACCCGAAAATTGCAGAATAAATCGTAACTTCGTCTGAGAAAGTCCTAAAATTCGCGCCTTGCTCACAGACACACTTCCCACATCAGCCATGTATGTACTGTTGATGCACTTTCTCCTTGGATAGTAATCGAGAAAACGGAAATTTTCATGTTTTTGCCAAAGTGATGCTGTGCTATTCCCATATCGGTGGTTGCACGCCACAGACCATACAAGTATAGACATGAATTTTTAGCGCTCTACAGGCTTTAGTTCTCGAGAAACATCAAATTTAGCATTGTTTAGGTATCCCACACCTGGTATCCCACACCAAAACAAACATTCCTCGAGGAATAAAGTGCAGAGCGCTGAAAATTCTTGTCTGTACTTGCACTGGTCTGTAGTATACAACTACCAATGTATGAAATGCACAGCATCACTTTGGCAAAAACATGAAAACTTTCGTTCTCTTGATTTCCATCCAAGGGAAAGTACATCAACAGTATACACAAATGGCTGAGGTGCGAATTCTAGGATTTTTTAGACGGAGCTTTTATTCTGTCACCTCTGCTTCGCAGAGGCTCGCACTGGCCCTACTTTCTGAGTGCCTTACTCATTCCCGCATAAAAATGACATTGAAACTCACCGCGCTACGTAGGATATTGCGAATGATTCGTAAACAGCTACTCATTCCTAGAGGTTTTTCGTGTAAGATCGGTATTTTCGCGTGGATGAAACTTTTCCCAGAAGAATGATGCAAATTTGAATCCGTTTTTGGACCTTTTATGGCTTGGTAGCCGCCATAAGAACAGCGAACATCGTGGGCTACATCTCTGTGCAAAAATCTTCTCAAATGATCAGGTAAATTCCTGGCTAATTGGGTATTTAGCATCTTTTTGGCGCCATTTTCGTAAAGTAGCCAACTTTAGTTTAGTATTTTGGGCTAAAGTCCCTGGCTTCCACATTAGCTTGTCAAACATATCCACTTTGCAAAAGGTTTCATACGGACCCAATTTTTCTGGCGAGAAGAAGTGTGGATCCGCTTGACTCGCAAGTTTTGAAGGATCCTCTCAACGGGTTCGCCTATGCTTTTGCACAATGGACCTGCATGCTGCTTGCATATGCCGTGCGAAATTTGGGCTCAAGAAATCGAGTGGAACTCGCTCTAAGAATTTCGTAACGGACACACACACACCACACACACCACACACACACCACACACACACACACACACACACCACACACACCACACACACACCACACACACACCACACACACACACACCACACACACACCACACACACACCACACAACCACACACACCACACACACACCACACACACACACACACACACCACACACACACCACACACACACACACCACACACACCACACACACACACCACACACACCACACACCATACCATCGATACATAGAGCCACGTACTCTGGTGACCTTCACTTTGAGCGTCATCATAGAACACAACCTTCACCTAGAGGGAAGTCATCCGGGGCAAAGCCCCGGATATCATGGCATAACTAATGACATCCATAGAGGGAGAGATGTGAATGAGGTAAATATAGTAGTGACATCCAAAAGAAGCTCAAAAAACCGAAGGATTACGTTTTTATGGCCCTTTTTTGCCAAAAAGACTTTTATTAAAAATTCAATGAGGAACTGGAACAAAATTTCTCAATTAATCTTTCTCTAGACTTCGATTGAGCGTTGGAAGTTCATGAAAGCCGCTGGAGTTCAATAGAAACGAGAAACTGCGCTCAGATCTTGCGCAGAGAGTCGCTACTTAAATGCTGGTCTATCTCGTTATGGAGTGATTTTCAAGACCCGCGACGTTGTCAGTGCTCCTGGACGTCTCATGAGGATCACAGCGATATATAATGTTACAGGGTTTCGTTATGATCCCGCGGAGATCAATGACCAGAGCCAAATGCCCCGCCGGCTCTGGTCTGTCTCCGCTGCTCGTCTGCGTCTCCGCGACTTGCGCGCTACCTCGCTACCCCATAAGCGGGGCGCGGGGCATTTGGCTCTGGTACCCTTTTCTTCGTATTTGGGAGCCCAATTTCGACAATATATATATCATATTAAAGCTCTTGATCTCCATTTTCACGCTGACAACGTCGCAAGACTCCTTTTATGATTTAAACGAGAAATATAGGAAAAACGGAGTTTTTGAAAACCTCTTGTTTTTTCTTCAGTTCAACTCTTTTCACTCGGTTTTTTTGTGTATTCGATAGGTCTCGTTTCTGTCTATGATGTAGACAACGTCGCCGAGCTTACTTCTTTGCTTATGCCGGTTTTTTTGTGAAAGTTACCAAAAAGTGCGTTTTTCTTTACCTTGTTCTTTTTCAATGCTTTTGCAACGAATTTTCTCCAGCTTGGACGTTACTTGCTCAGAATGATGAGCGGAAGAATCCAGATAACGTCGCAGGTTACGAAACGACCATGCGGGGGTGAAAATTTAAAGGACGCGTCAAAAATCAGATTGGCGTCGATGTGCAGCATAACTTTTCAGACATGTTTAACATGTTCAGTTTAGTTGTTGACAAGTTTGCCTTCTTTCGGTCTCCCAACTTTCAATCAGAAAAGAACTTTTTTCCTGTTGCCATCCAATTTAACCGGCAATTCTGAAGACAAAAATGTGCGTAGGAAACCACCAAGATAAGGTTTTAAATTAGGTGATGTGTTAGCTTCTGTTTTATATGAATTTTTCAAGTTTCCTGGTTCAATTCAGATCTCTAAATTTCCATCTATTTTTTCTAAAACAACCTTCACTTTTTGTAGGGGGCAAGAACTCAAACAACTATCACTTTCTAGGCTCTGTCTCTTGACTATCGAAGGTATGCCACACACACACCACACACACCACACACACACCACACACACACACCACACACACACCACACACACACCACACACACACCACACACACACATCACACACACATCACACACACACCACACACACCACACACACACACCACACACACACCACACACACACCACACACACCACACACACACCACACACACACCACACACACACCACACACACACACCACACACACACACCACACACACACCACACACACACGTACAAAAAGACGTAAACAACCTTTAGCTCGTTATATTAAAAGTCATGATTTTTCGGGTAACTGGATCTTTTTGGTTTTTAGCTTCAAACTCGAGATGTATGTAAACTGGTGCGAAAGCATGAACAACATCTTCATCTTGTAGAGCTCGCTTTGCTTTCTCAAACGGTTCCTCGAAATCTATCTACAATCAGAATGTTCATGACTTATTGCGACTGAAAATTAAAAAGGACGGCTTAATGGAACACAGTCTAATGCAATGTACCAGAAGTTAAGTATTAGTAACAAATTCAAAGGACTTTGTCGTTTTATCTCCCAAAAACTTTGCAAAGAGCTGTTTAGATTTTTCAACGAAGTTTACTCTAACCTTCATGCTACAACGTTTTGCTCTAGGTTAATACCTTCCCAGCAACCTTAAATTGAATGATTTATCGATACAGAAAGTATTTGCTTTTATCTATGAAATTTACCACAACTGACCATTTGGCGCTGATTGTTGCTGATCGAGGTTAACACTTTGATGATAGCATCCTTGTCGCCAGATTCCAGAGCACGATCGAGCTTATCGGCGTACAAGACGGAAACAAAGTCGGGATTGTCAACTATTGTGGCATATGGAGAGTTCATTCTGTGATTCCTAAGAGAAAGATTCTGACTAGTATAGGGAAAAGAGACATATAAACGAAAGACGACAGTGGAGAATATGAGATTGCGAGACTTTGTAAATACAATCGCTGTCGGCTAGAAGGAGGAACCACGGCCTTGCCTAGCAGACAGTTCAATTCGCAAGGCTTGTTTATCAGCTAGGGGGGGGGGGAATGATACCTATCATACTTACATAAGCGCGAGAGCACAAGAGAGCATAACCCTGGCTTCTCATAACCCACTACGCACAGACGGCAACTGTATTTTGTACGAAAGCTGTAGCTTGGTTGAAGAAAAAAATGGTTAATTTGTGTTCGGCAATGCGAAGAAAACCAATATAGCGCAGTAGCAATTCAGAATTTACAGGTATCTTGATGTAAAGTTACTCAGCAACTACATTGGCTATTGATTAACAATTCTCAAAATATTTCGCTTTTTTATGATTGCCAAACCTCAAAGGAAAATCGGTGAAAGAAACCTTGGCTGATTTTTTTGGCCGAAAATTCTTGAACAAGATTACGACACTACGAACAAATGCACTGACTGAACTTTTATTCAAATTTTGGCTAAGTTATATTGGATTTCCCCAAGAACTTCTCAAGCTTTCAATATTCAAATTCAAAGGGAATTCTTGCCTATACGTTAAGTGCGTGTACAAATTTCAGGTCCCAGCTCTCTAGAAACATTTTTGACATGAATGTCAGCGTAGAACGTGTCAGGTGAAAATCAAGGTTTGAATTCTTGAAACCCCTAATACTTCCGTTTTGGTTATAGTTATATGTCTCTTGATTCTACAGAAGTTGTGTGAAATCGTAAAGAGTAAAACGGAAGAATCTGGAACAAGCATAATAGAGCATAGCTCAGGATTTGCTTTATATGTCAGCAAACTAATCTTTTTAGAAAATTTTTTATAGAGTTCTTTAGGAGGAAGAGTTTGGAGCGTAGGCCAGTGAATGGTAAAGACAGACGATTTGAAGGATTCGCAAGACTTCGCAAACAACTAATAAATGTCGGATAGGGAAAAAAGCGTAACGTGTGCAACCTATAGTGTTTCAGCCATAGTGAAAATCTGCGATCTTCAGATAGTAAGGAAATGAATATAGGTTTCAATCAGTGGCGTTCGCAGGATTTCGACCGGGGGGGGGGGGAGGGACAAAAATTTTTTTCAGATGAAGGTCGTGGCGTTAGCCACGCACTCCGAAAATTTTTTTGGGGTGCTTCTGAAAATTTGCGTTAGCCACGCCCCCGAAAAATTTTTTTTGTAAGGCTAATTTTGATTTTCAAAAAATTAAAAAAAATTTTTTTTAATTATTTACAAAAATAAACAAGTCGTTTACACATTTTTATAGCCCATATAGGTAAGTTTCAAAAATTTCGTGACCCATTCTCGGGGGGGGGGGGCGCCGCTTCCCCCTCCCCCCCCCTCTCGGTCCTGGTTTCAGTGTATTTTAGTTCAGAAGAAGCAAGATTTGAAAGATATCCTGGGAAAACAAGTAAGTTTGGAAGCAGCAGTTAACAGTTACAGCAGTCTAGCAGTTACATTAAAAACTTAATAATGTCTTTCCAAATAAATTTTACAATTTTATTGACATAGCAAAAGCACGAAGGGTTTCGGAAAATGATGTGCACACTGTTCACGCTGTAACTTTAGCGCACTGCTCCGGTTTGCAAGAAATATCGAATTTAGCTTTCCTTATCGGGTGCTTTAGACTAAAACCATTATTTCTCGTGAGCTGAAGTCTTTTGAGAGCTGGAAATGGTGAAAATACAGTTGTATGTCTGAACATGATTAGTATACAGCTTAGTTAGTGTGTCTCCAGAGACAAACAGCACAGCATCACTTTGGTAACAACGCGAAAATTTGCATTTTCTCAATTCTAAATAAGGAATATGTTTTCAATTTTTGAATAAGGATTATATGCAGCAACGGCACGTATAGTGTCTGATATGAGTAATAATGCGTAAAAAGTAAGAGATCATAGCATTTTAGACAAAACTGTAGAAATTTCAACTTTTTAGGCATTGAAAACTTTTCAGATTTTGTTTGCGAACTTGGAGTGGATCAAAGCTGATGCAGAAGTATTGAAATCATCTTGTAGAGCTTGCTTTGCTCTATCATGCTTTCTGATGCTTATTTACGGACCAAACATGCTCGATTACCCCCCTGTGCCAACTCCCAGCCCCGTAGCTCAAATTTTGCAAAAAATCGATAAAATCGACATCGATCGATAACGAAAAGTGGACTGTGACACCCGCCAGGGCCCGAAATGTACGTGTGCTAAGCTTGGTCTCAATCGGTTCAGAAATGGAATTCTCTATTCGGAACATACGTACATACAGACATACAGACATACATACAGACATACAGACATACATACAAACAGACATTCAGCTTTATATATAAGATAGGATAGTATATGACTTATCAAACAAACGAAAATGAAAATACTTGTGGTACAACTTAATATATGTATGCACGTTTCATCAAGCACGACACAAAATTTGGAGAGAACTGGATCAGAAAATTGAACGAACTTCACATGATTTTTTGAGCCGAGTATGCCCTCGCATATAATCGCCAAGATAAGCGTATAACTCATTGCAAGGCTCGATGATGTTACACGATGGTCCACTGGAAAATGTGTCCATGCACTTCTTTTGTTCGGCTACTTCTGCCTAATTTTTCATAGGTAAAGAAAAAAAGAAAGTGAAGAGCTTTACAGAGAGATAGCGATGAGAGGCGATCATCAATACACACAAGCTGGTTGCCTATGTGTCACATCGATTGTTCTGAAGTGAATTGTGGAGACGGATTCTACTCAGCAATTATAAAATTTAACGAAAGGTGGTGTATCTTTAGGCCTTGAATATTTAGAGGAAAAAAATTGGTGAAGAGGTTGTGACGTTCGCAGATTTTTTACTGAAGCTATTGACTATCAAATGACTACTTTTTCAAGCACAGACAATACTGACAATAAGTGCAGCCGACCGGTATCAATATCAGTAGGAAAAATCACTTTTTAAGGTAAGCCTTGATTTCAAAATTTGAATATTTCTATTCTGTGGAAAATGAGACAATCTTTACAGGAATCCTGTTTGTCTAATCGTTTTGACGCAAAAATACAGCGGTGAATGGAAAAAGGATTCAAGATAGCGTACTTAAACAGCCAAACAGTAAGGTTTCCTAGGATGCTTGAATGTTGCGACTCCATAAAGCAAATCTACCGCGTTATCAAACGCTATCAAAATCTTAGTGCATTGAGTGAAAAAAGCTAATACTAGTGCAGAGATCGATGCCAGGGAGTGGTACTTTGAAGTCGTATAACATGAAACGATGGAATTTACGAAACTGTTCTGAAATGCATACATTCAACGACGCACTTTTGAGTCAAAGAATCGTTCTAGGACGAGACGAGAACTTAAATTACAGAAATATGTTACCATTCGACGCGAGCTCTCGGCTGCGTAGTTAAAAAGAAGGAAAATGCGTCATTTCCTACTAGGAAAAATGAAGAAGTCAACAAAAAAACAAAATCGAGATGTATTAGGCTGGAAAATAAGTTTTGCAACTTTTTTCATAACTTTACTCTCTTTGGATGTGGCGCACTCAAACTCTGATAATATGTACAGCGCAATGTGTGCTACAGCTGTGCACAAACTGTTTGAATTTTGATCACGGGTAAGAAATTTTTTGGCATTTTTCTAAAATCAGTCGTTTGAGAATTTTGGGGTTTATAAGCCAAAATAAAGCCGTTAGCAGCCTAGAAAATGCGCAGTAATCCAGAATCGTGTACGATTACTGCTTGAGGCTGACTCATTCGGCTGAGTAAGGAAGAAATAAGATTTAGGAGCATGTCGAGATTTGGCACAATCACAAATTTGAACAGTTGCTGCACGCAAGGGTGGCCTTAACTGTCACTAACTAAGGAATCAGAATCTCGAAATTTTGCCGAAACTTCACACAGTAAGGTCACTTGACCTGCCAAGCATAGACATCATATTCATCTGTTGAATCGACCTTCTTTCCTTGATTGGGTTGAAACCCTATATCGCAAACATACAGTAATCTTACAAAAAAGGTCTTATCACGCAACCAGCATCGTTTTCGTGATTAGCATTTCGGATAATAACCTATTCTAAACTTCAGCCAAATTCGTCATTTTATATTTTTTCGTACCATATACCCTTCGTAACCCCACTGTGATGTCAGAATTCGGCAACGCAGCTGCGCTTGTAGCATACGTCATAACCTACACAATGGAAAAGCTTGAGCTCGCTTGAGCGAAGCTCGCCATGGTGAGAAAGAGGAATGTTTATGAGTGAGTTTCAAAACTTAGTTTCCAAACCAATATTTGGAGCTCCCAATTTTTTTTCCTCCGATAAGTGTGCAGATTATACTCTAAATCTCCGCAGTAATAATCCCCGTAATAATCCGACTAAGTGGTAGTAATGATTTAAAATAATCAGGCTTTCTGATTAGTAGTTGCACCGAATTCATGTATGATCACGCTTGCAGAGTGGTCGAGTGCAGCACATGAAGTGTGACGGGTTGCGGATCCATTTTCGGATTTTAAAAGTTCTTGTGATATCTTTTCTTCACAGATTTCAATCCTGTTGCGGTCATTCTTCACTTGCTCAAACAGTCAAAGGCTCTCAGCCGGCAGCCACAAAGCCACCGCCAAAACCCACCAAAAGCGCCGTGCTCTTATCGCCGCCACTTTCGCTTCCCGCTGAAACCTTATAGCAGTCCGCCCACTGTCAGCTCTAGCGTCTCGCTCAGTGCCATATTTGTAGCCCTCTCGCTTCTACGGTTGTCAGCGGTGAGCGACAGTGAGGCGATAAGGCTGACAGAAGTAGGTTATGAGAAATTTGGTTGTTCCAAATTAAGATTTGTACGTATATATATATAAGTTTAGTAATTTGTTACATCGACGTACACTGCGAAAACAAACAGTTACTAGCTAATCACATTTGAAGTCAAT